GAAAGCACAAAGTGTATATAGCCCATATTGTTGGAAGCACAAGGTTTCATCAGCAGACAAAGCCACTGCTCTTTTATTTATTTATATATTTTAAGCAAAGAGTTTGGTTTTCCAGTGTTAACACTGTATGGTGAGAATAAAAAAGTCAAGGTTGGGAACCTGAGGTTTCCCCCACCCCAGATCCACAACTGACACAATGGTTTTCTGTCTCAATTATGAACATGACATACTGCTGCCCTTTAGGAATATCAACAGTCCTCTCACTTTGGAATCTTTAGCTATACATTTTTATGAAATTACAATTAAAAATTATTTGCTATCTTGAAATACGGAATTCCTATCCCTCCCCTCTCCATACTCCAATACATAAAATGCCACATTTTAAATTTCATCTCAGTATTTACTTCTCTTCCTCCAAAATTTGCAAGGATCAAGGCCCCATTTTTTCTCCCCTTTCAACTATCTTAAAGAAGCCTGAATTTGGGAGGGAATTCTTAAAGTCCTTAAAGTGAGGCAAAGGATTCATTTATGACAACCATACGGCCTTTCTTTTAGGGCAGAGAGCCACTGTTTCCCTTTGAACATGGGCTGCACAGGTTTCAGGCTGATCTTTAATTATGCATGTGCCATCCCCTAAATGTGATGCCTCCAACCCACAAAAAGTTAGTTGTCACAGAGAAAGAACTAATTCTCAGTAGCATACTTAAAAATGTTAACTAATGAAATGCAAACCAAAGCATCCGATCTGCTTATATCAGTATCTCATTAAAGGATAAAATACTCCATGGGACCATGCCTAACAACTGGAATAAATAAAATGAGTCACAATCAACTGTTTAATTACTTCTGTCCTCTGTTTTCTACCTAAACATTAGACTTAAATATAATCTTGCTCCTCAAAAAAGTAAGGAAGGCACTCAAATTAACACAGTATGTATAGTTATGTTTTAAAAGACAGTGTGTGATGCTTTTTCCTGCTCACTGCCTTTATGACACTGAATCTGCCTAAGCTTCGTACCTCCATGCACTTCTCCATTAGACAGCAGCACATTACAGAGTATACCCAGGCGTGGCGGGGGAGGGGGGTGGTGGGGGGTGGCAGAGGGCTCAGCACATACAGTGCTAGGGTTTGCACAGTTCTATTCGAGAAATTTATTCAGAAGACAAGAGGTTCAGTTGTTACAATGCTGTTCAAACTTTCTGGCATAAATATTTTAAAGTTTTAAAATATAATTTTCTAGTAACAAAATAACTGTAAGCTTACAAAACCTTTCTGGAAAAAAAAAAAGATTCTATGTTACTTTCTTTGATAACTAAATCTTTAGCATCTTCTGTAATTCAGGGGAACTAAGGTAGAGTTTAGATTGTTGTATGGCAAGTGGTAGTTACACTCCTAAAGTGTATTTAGCCCCTGTGTCAGATTATCATCTTGCGCTATATGAGAGAAAAATCACTAGACTGACCATTTGTTCTCAACAATATTAAAAGTTCTCTTTACACACACACACGTGTGTGTCTCAACAGGCATGAATAGACGTGACTTGAATATATCTAAATGACACCAAGTCTACCATCATATATGCTTTCTTACAAAATGCCACATAGAAATCCAAGAACTTTTGTTTCCACATAAGCCCTTATCTAAAGATTTAAGTGGCTTTTAGTGACAACCTGTATACATTTAATCCTATTAATAATGAAGCCTTTAATTTAAACTAGAACCGTACCATTAGGAATGAGAAATATGACTGAAAGTCTGGGCCCAGAGTTTCCCAAGAGGTAATAAAATGCTAACACCTAGAAAATAAAAAGGAGACATTAATAGGTATCAATCCTTAAGTTTAAAAAATGACTTACACAGGTTTATCTAAAAGGCCCACAGTTCGAGTCAGGGGAGGGGAAAGGAGAAGCATAAAATGACTATCCCAGCACAGACACAGATCAACAAGTTTTTGAAATCAAAGAACTTCTTCAGGTGTCCCAAAGCGGCTCTGGCTGTGTTAGCAGGATCTATGCTCCAACATCATAAATGAACACTAAGTAGTGTTTTTAACGCAAACAGGCTTCCTCAGTTCTAGGAATTTTTAATATATATTAAAGTACAGTTAATCGCTAATTATACAGCTAACTGCATTTCTTGGCTGGGATCTACAAGTTTAAACAAGGTAGTTAAATAAAGAAAAAAAAATCTAAATTGACTTATTCTATACGCCATAGCTTCCCTGAAGTATCATGAAGCTAGAATACATCATTCATTCACAATCCATTGCTCTACTCCATCAATTTCTCAATCATAACTCTCTATCCATCACTCATGATCAATATTTCCCTTCTTCAGTTAATCATTCATTAATTTAATAAATAATTAATGAGGCCTCACAATGTGCAAGGCACACAACAGAATCTGGGAACACCATATTACCAAAATAGGTTCTAAAAAAAAGGTGGGGAGGGGGAGGTGGTGCAGATATTTACAGTTCTTATTGCTTTTTGCTTGTCAGTAGTAGTCTTGATCCACAGGATGGTACGACAGCCTACTATTATTCCAGTGAAAGTTCGATGAAATGTGTGTCAATCAAAACCATCTTTTCCTTTTAGCAACGATATATATAGGAAAAAAAGTGAAGACTAGCAAGTCCCTGAAAATAGACACATCCTTTCCACCGCATGAGCTCATTCAGTCAAAGAGATATTATCACGCTAGCACTAGTGAGTTTAGAAGTCAACCATTTAGGGGAAAAAACACAACCATATAGGGCAATACTAGGTTTTTCTGTGAATGAACACTTGAAAAATGCAAATTGTAGAAATAAAGTAGCACACAAAAGTCACATACAAACAGTATCCTTTGGATATCTGTATTTTCACTCCCTACTTAAAACTTTATTAGGAAGACAAGAGACTAAGGTATATTAAAGGATTGCATGGCTTCAGAAAGGGGGGGGTTAAGAGCCTTAAAACACATGGAGACAGTTAACATCAAAGATGGGCAAGAGACTCTGTGGAAGGTATAAAAAAGCATGAAGCACTATAAAATTTAGCTGATGTTTCACCGAGAATTATCTATACTCATGTTCTGACACTTTCACATCAAAGCATAAGAAGCCCTATTACTTGGGATACTTAAAATGATGCTTGGAAAAAAAGGTAATACTCAGTGAGGCCAGAATTTGGCAATACATATTAGTGGAACGGGCGACTCTCCCGTGTCATCTCTGTGTATTCCTCTCCCAATCCCTGCAGGTGCTGAAAAATCACAAACTAATGGTTTTATTCATAGAGGTCTAGGTAGACCTTGAGGTATTTTATTCAAAATATGTTTTGTTCACAAAGGGCCATGGAATTATGTCCATAAGGGCAATTATTTTCTCACCGAAATATTATAAAAGCTATAAAAGGGTACCTTTTGCCCCAAGAGAGAAGAGCAGCTTCTGTCTACAGGGGCAAGGCTGGACAATCTTCCTAGTGTTCTTAAGTCTCACTCAACAGTTTGCCACTCAACAACATCACGATGCATTAGTAAAGGACCTATTCTTTTCCCTTAAGACAATGCATCTCACTCAAGGCCAGGGTTTCCATAATAGTGAGAGAGGAGAAGTCTGCCTTTCCCTACCTCTGTCTTCTCATTCTATAGGTGACCAGGAAAGTAAAAAGGACAACAGGCAAAGCACGGTGGTCACACTTGTTTCTGCCACTGTTCCTCACATTCTGCACACACACAGGACAACAGACAGGTTCCATCATTAGGGGAACTTTCAGAGGGGCAGTTCATATTCATATTTCGTGTGTGTGTGTGTGTGTGTGTGTGTGTGTGTATCTTTAATGGGGTATGGAATTCACTGGAAATAGGGAGGAGAATATGTTCAGTACACATCCCTGAAATAAGACAGATAAGGAAAAATATACAAAGTGAAAGTGACAGAAAATATGGAACAATTGGGAAAATAAAGAGAAAGGGATGTGGAAAAAAGAAATGCAAACCATTTATGAAGGGGGAATATATTAAGAAAGTAGACATTACTTGGCCCTTTCCCCACCCCTGCCTCACTGACCTGAAAAACCCAGCCCTTGTTAGTGAAAAGAAGATACAGCTATAAGGTGGATACTTTGGTACCTCATCCCTGATAAGTTTAGTATCAAAGTTTTTAAATTATTTTATTTTTTAAAATAAAGACTGAAGAACTAACCTTCAAAACTATTCTTTCCCCCTGGCTTTTGCCAGTAAACTTTTAATAATCACTTCATAAAAATTTTGTAGTTCGTATCTAATGTATCCTCCATAACTTAAATTTTTAAAAAGGAAGATTTTTATGGATACATTCCTATGTATTTTTGTCTATATATTTCTCTCATTTTTAATGGTGAATTTGGAAGGAAAATAAGCAGTAATAACTAAAAATGGCATTCCATGTTTTTTTAAAAAATTGATTTTTACAAGGGCTGACTTGAGTGTTTTTGGCATATACCAAATTTGAGGTTAAAAAAAATCTATCAAAACTAGTAATAAAAATAATTTTCCAGTACTGCAATTACACAAACTCTTAAAATTAATTTTTTTTAAAATAACCATTTTAAAAATGGATTACACTGGAAGCATGTTTTTCATATAAATTCCAATACTTCTGACTTTGGTTATGTTGGTCTATAACTTGAGTAGATCATGCTAGAGAAAGAGAAATGGTTTGTATTTTCATATATCCATCCATCTGGCCATTTGATTCTCAAAACAACAATTAGATCGAGTAATTTTATATTTGTATTGTTCTTAAGCTGAACTACAACATAAATTTTTAATTAAAAAAAAAATAGCCTACGCAGCAATTGCACCCAGTCGGGTGGGGGTGTGTGTGAACCAATCAGGAGAATCAAATGAGAAGAAGCCTCATGTAGCGAAATATAAAGGATGAGAAGTTAAAAAGAAAAAAATTAAGACTCACTATTTAGTAGGAAGGAACTATACAATTATTTTACCCCCAAAGGAATGCCAGTTCTTACTAAAATAAATAAAATGAAAGATTTACTATGGACTTTTAACCTAAAGATGAACACAGTTAGCCAATAATAGCAAACAGTTCGTGCAACTACGTAAATAAGAACGGAAAGCAATATTGCACTAAATGGAGAACCTTGCAGGACTAATCCTCTTTCACTGACTCAAAGTAACCAGCCATTTTCTGTATGCATTAGCAAACCTGGCCTGCTCTACATTCCGGCAGGTGGACAATACTTGATCGATGAACCTGTGCTCCATTTCCAGGCCTAGGGAGTCTGGAGCTGGGGTCCGCTTCAGGCGTTTGGTTTCCTGGGAATAGCCTTGCTTGCTACAGTCATTCAGTCCATCCACCTCCATTGCCTGAGATGTGTGGGGGCCTGCTGGGACGAGGTGCAAGTCACTCAAAATCCCCCCAGGGCTATCTGCAGGTGACAGCTGGGTCACGCTGTGAGAAAACCTACCATTCAAGTGATGCTGAAGGTAGAAAACATGCCTCCTGTGAAAGAGGGAGAGGAATAGAATAGAGAAAAATCACATCACAAAGTCAACCTTTTCAAGAAAAACAACAAAATAAGCTGATAAGTTCAAAACATACCGTACTCAGTTCACTGCCCCCTTCATAGCCCAGAGTCATCCAGGCAAAGGAGAAGGAACAGTTATGATGAAGTCTCTGGGTATGTGGACAAAGCCTTACAAGCCCGGTCTACTGGTTTGCAAGAAACAATGCTACCCCAAAGATTTTTCAACAGCATTGACTGAAATGATGATAGTCACTTGGAGTTGTTACTCTTTGTAACTATAATATGAAACTAAAAATAGCTTAGCTCAATCTCTGCTATAAATTAAAATACAAAACAAAATCAAAAACTGACCTCTTTGATATCCTAAAAGACAAGTGATTCAGGAACACGGGAATTAAATAGCTCTTCTAGAGGCTTAGTCTGTTGGCCTCTACCCAATACTTTCTTTAATAAGAACAGATCTGCTGCAGCTGGTCTTATTATGTAGAAACCAACTGAACTTTCTCCTAAATCCATCACTACAGTCTCAGTAAACATCCACATGCAGTAGGCATGTGCTGGGCTCTGAGCAAAGCATGTTAAAAGACACAGCTCCTGTTTTTCCTCTAAAGAGAGCAGTTCCCTTGCCCTTAGAATCATCTGGAGTTAATTTATTAAAAATGAAGATCCATATGCCTAATCTCTCAAAATTTTGACTCAGTAGGGTGCCCATGTACTGTACACAACAAAGTAAATTACAAGGGTTCTATGTTGTTATATGTTATCATTCATATTAGCAACTCTAAGCCCTTAAAAGACAATTCTATCCATTTTCCCAGCACATTCTAGAGTAATCAAGGAGCATATAACGTACTGATTTAATAGAGGGTAAAACTTAAAGGATAAATACGCTCCTAAGGGCAAGGAATCAGTAGTAGAAAACTGTCCTATATAATATATAGGTAATCCCAACTGTCTCTTTTCCCTACTCCCCCCACCAAACTCTAATTAAACTTTATACGAACAAAGAAAGTTTCTGCTCTGTTAATCTAGCTATCTCTAACACAATTATAAATTCTCTGAGCCTTGCTATTACTATGCCTAAATATAAAATAGCAACAAAAATCTAACACCAAAACAACATGCAAGTTAAGAACTACCTTCTCTCTTGAAAATGTGGAAGAAATATGTCTAAATTTTTTTGTTTTTTTTTTTTTTTGGTTGCAAGGAAGATCAGCCCTGAGCTAATATCCATGCCAATCCTCCTCTTTTTGCTGAGGAAGACCGGCCCTGAGCTAACATCTATTGCCAATCCTCCTCCTTTTTTTTTTTTCTCCCCAAAGCCCCAACAGACAGTTGTATGTCATAGTTGCACATCCTTCTAGTTGCTGTATGTGGCATGCCGCCTCAGCACGGCCGGACAAGCGGTGCGTCGGTGCGCGCCCAGGATCTGAACCTGGGCCGCCAGTAGCAGAGTGTGCGCACTTAACCACTAAGCTTTGGGGCCGGCCCCGAAATATGCCTAACTTTTAAGAGAAAAAGAAAATTCTATATTCATGAAGGTGCCAAATAAAGGAGATTGTCTTCTATCTTCTAAATATATTTAGCATGGAATAGTAGCCGAACAGATCTCCTCAAATAGCCTACAAGAAAGACTAGACTGGACAAAGGGGGCAAATCTCAATAACTTTAAAAATATACAAATATTTAAAATGCCTATCTCCTGCTTAGCACAGGCAAGTCTTTTTGTCTATACACAGAATCCTATGGCCTGAAGTAGAATGTGTATTTATAAAGATGGAGATGCCTCCAACTAGAAGATGATCCAAAATAAACCAAAGGGCTCTCACACTTGGACTTCATTCCAACATGAAAGTTACTTTACTGTCAAATGTACTCAGAACTTAGGTTATGAGGTTAGCAACCTCTTGCACTCCTTCCTAATAATCCTGCTCCACTCCCAAGGTACACTTTATTTAAAAAAAACCAAAAGTGTCAAGAGCTTACACTTAAGGTAAGTTAATTTACAGACCATCGTAGGTCTAATTAGACCCATGAGGGTCTAATCAGGGGTCTCAACCCTGACTGTGCATCAAATTTACCTGCTAGGGTTTTTCCTTTGTTTTTTTAAAAAACAGAGGGTAGCGCTCCATCCCAGATATGCTAAATATCAGGGTCTCCAAGGGGGGAGTCCAGAAACTTTTGTTTTTAGTTCAGAAGTAATACAGGTCATTCTGTCGCACAGTCAAGGTTGAATACTACCATCCTAAGCCACAGACAAAGATCTGCAGGAGTAACCTCATATTGATGTGGAGGAGGAGCAGGACGATATGGTAAGACAAACTCCTCTGAATCACTCAGGCAAAGCTCCATAGATTACTGTATTTACTCAGGCAGGCAGGAGTCAGATGTAGACCTTCTGAGCTCTCATAAGGACACACAGTTTCATGCAGGAAATGGATTTCCCTTGTCTTACCTATGACACCAAAGGGTTTCATGTCCTGGGTAGGAATCAATAAGATCAGTGCTGAATTCAACTTCTTCTTCTAGAAGATGGGGAAGATTTATCCTTGGTTCTTCTGTTGAGGCTGCTGCTGCTTCATCTTTTAGAAGAACTGAGGCTGGCTCACTTCTCAAAGGGTTTTGCTCCAATACAGAACCATCTATCACAGTTTGGCTAATCAAAGACTTTAACAAAAACTGGCGGTAGTGAAATCCGCTGTGGTCTGAAACATGCATGGATGCCCACTGTTTAGTAGAAGATAGTTCCTCAAGAAGAATCTTGTAGGAAGGAAAAAGAGAAGTGAGAGACGAATTGCCAAAGGTTTTTCTTTCTCCATTAATGCCTTCAATTTTCTCTTTCATTCCTCGATTTTTTTTTTTTTTTTTTTTTTTGGTGAGGAAGATTAGCCCTGAGCTAACACCTGTTGCCAATCCTCCTCTTTTTGCTGAGGAAGACTGGTGCTGGGCTAACATCCACGCCCATCTTCCTCTACTTTGTATGTGGGGCGCCTGCCACAGCATGGCTTGACAAGCGATGTGTAGGGCTGCACCTGGGATCCAAACCTGCAAACCCTGGGCCACCGAAGGCGAGTGCGTGAACACAACCACTATACCACCAGGCCAGCCCCTCGTTTTTTTTTACAAAACCATTCCTACCAATGTTGTGTATACAATGTCCAACACAGCGCTGTCAGTGGAAGCTCGGTAAATGCTAGTTTCCCCTTTCCCTTATAAAGTAATAGTTTTTTTTTTATACCCCAGAATTTAAGGACTTATTTGTCTTTCCTTCCCTGGACTTTGATCCGTCACGTTCTAATTGGCACAGAGAAAAGCCAAATTCTAAAATGGAATTTTGAACATCAGGGAGTTCATTTACAAGTAATGCTGATGTTGAAGGGAAAACAAATTCAGAGGTTACTTTGACGTAAACTTTCTTTTACATTTAATGAATCTGTACTCTATCTAACTTATTATTTGTTCAACATTAGACTCCATGTAATTATTTGTTCTTCACTAAAGTGCCATGAAGGCAAAGACCATGTCTGTCTTGTTCACTACTTAATTCTAAGGCTTTAGTACAAAAATATGATGCATGAATAACAGGAATTTTCAAGAGCTCATGACTTTCACTATTTGTCTTAAATGCACTTAACAGTGAGTTTAAGTTAGATGAGACAAAATTCAGCAGCAAATTGTTTAAACCTCTGTATTATCAGTCCTGCAAACTAAAGATTTCAAATGGAATGCTTTCAAATTAAAGCAGCATCTATGAAAAAATAAAATTATTTGGCAGTATCTTGGACTGGTAGCAAACGCAAATGGGTTTTGATCAGTGAAAGGTATACTGAGGTCCCATCACATTCCATCAGAGGATTTTCAGACCAGCTACGGTAAAAAGACATATGCTTGTCAACAGTGAACAAGAGACAGCACAATGCCAAAAGGCTCCTTTACCTGCTTTTCAAGGGTTCCAGGCAAACACATTCTCCTGTACCAAGATCCCCTCTCCACTTCTCACAGTCCCTTTCCTTCCTTAGAAGAAATCTTTCCCTATTCTGAACCTCCACAGTTCTTGTGTGTTCCACCATTACAGAATTTTCTGTACATCTTTTCATCCCCACTATACTCTACAAGTTCTTTACGATATTTACCCATTCCTAATTAATGTTTCCATCACCCTATACCCACTGGCATCAGAGCAGACATATAAGTATTTTATGAATGAATGAAAAATTTAATGAATGACGTGACTAGTACAGAGGAACGAGGTTCCTCTACGTCCTACAGCTAGGACGATCGAGTTATATCAGTGACATGTTTTAAACGTCTCCTTTAAATTCTAATGAGTTTATACATAGCCACATACATTTATTCCAGAGGCTATAGCTGGTGATTCTCTGAGAAATGTAAAACAAGATTGTTTATTTGATTAAAAAGGTGAGCAAAATAGCACCATGTAAACTTATACCCGAAAAAAAACCCTAATCTTAAGGTTACTATAGTTTTAAAGAATTAACCTGCAGGACACTTACGCTATAATAGCAGCTTTTTAATATGGATTGAAAAGTGTACAAAACTTGTTCAAAAGCAATTTATATAACATGAAAAACCTTTATTTCTTACTGCCTATTTCTACATATAAAAATTGGAATTTATTGTAATTTTGAGGCAAAATATAGTCCATACATGAAAGGTTTTCAACAAAATCAATTTAATTTCTTTAAAAAATTTTCTCAGAATTTTTAAGAGAAAAATCCACTATATTCTTTTCCCTAAGATATAAGATGCATACTAAACTAGAGAAGAAACTTTTAACAAGAATTTCAGGGCATTTCTTACTAGAATAAAAAGGTATATAGATACCGGCAATGATTAAAAAAAAAGAAAGACAGCAATTATTTTCAAGTGCTTTTAAAGACACTGCACAGAGACATGGCTTAAAGGTAAGGTATTGACAGAACGAATAATCTTTATATAATATTACTTAAATGTCATTATTCTTTTCCAACATTCCATATAAAAAATGAGTAAGTGAATAAATAAACTATAAGAAAACTATAGAAGCAGGGCTATGACACACAAAGATAATACATTTAAAAGGAAAGACTACTAAAAATGCTCATTCTTATATACATATGCTATCAGTCTTAAAAATTCTTTAAATAACATTTGGTTTTTCCTCTGATTATAAAAGTGATACAAAATGATCATTACAGAAGATTTTAAGAATACAGAATATAAAGCAGCAAAAAAAATCATCCATTATCCTATTGGCCAGAGATAACTACTCAACATTCTAGCATATAACCAATCTTTAAGATTTTTTCTATGCAGGTATACGCACAGTTTATTTTTAACACAAACTTGGGACACTTTTATACTCATTTTATTCCACTTAAATTATAAATACATTCCCACGTCATTAAATATCATTCTATAGCCTAATTTTTAACTTTTGCATACTATTTCGTCCTAAAGATGATCACAATTTACCATTCCCTCATTTTGTTTCCACTCTTGTATGAGTAACACTCTTATGAACACACATATATAAATCTATGTGTATGTCTTATTATTTATTTAGGAGAAATTTCTAGAAGTATACTTACTGGAACAGTGAGAAAAATTTTATAAAGTTCTTAAAATATACTATCAAAGTGCCCTCCAGAAAGGCTGTATGATTTATATTCCTATTCCTATTGGAAATATATGTTAATGTCTGTTTTCTAAATTCCTTACCTGTCTTTTAATCTTCACTAATTTAATAAGTGGAAAGTCATGTTTCATTTTAATGTGCATTTCCTTAAATATCATTAAGCCTGAATACTTTTTCTTATTCACTTATTTTTCCTTTGTTTCTTCTCTTACAAATTGCCTGTTTGCCTAATTTTCTTTTTTTATGAATTGCCTAAATCGCATTATCTGTGATAGTCATTCTTTCTCTTATGGGTTTATAAGAAATATTTATATATTAAAGATAGTAAGTCTTTATGTTTAAGTATTTTTCTTAATATATTACTGCAACTGATTTTTTAAATTCCTTTTTTTCTTCAGATATGTTTTTATTCCATTTAGAGTTCAGTCTGGTATATGAGATTAAAACCTAAAACCCTTATTTTCTACAATGTCACTCTTATCAGCATCCCAAGATGAACAAAGAATCCTTTCTTCAATTATGTGAAATGCTATACTTACCATCAATGAAATCTGTACATATTATGTATTGGGATTTGTTTCTGGGCTTTATATTCTCTTTCCACTACTACGTCTATTTTTGAGCCAGCACAACAGTTTTAATTACTCTATCTTTATAAACATTTAAATATATAGCGGTATACAGTGTTCCTTGTCTTTTTTCAACAATTTCTGAGCTATTCTTGAAGCTTTATTTTCTCTCATGAACTTTAGAAGGAATTTTTGAAGTTGAAAAATAAATTGGTGGTTTTTAGTACATTCACAGAGTTGCACATGCCATCACTGCTACTGAGTTTCAGAACATTTTCATCACCTCTGAAACAACTCCTATTCCTATTAGGAGTCCCCTAATTTTCCATTCCCCAGCCTCTGGCACCCACTAATCTGCTTTGTCTATTCTGAATAGGTCATATAAATAGAATCACAAGATACGTGGCCTTTGAATCTGGCTACTTTCAATCAGCGTAATGTTTTCAAGGCCTGTATCAGGACTTCATTCCTTTTTTAGGGCCAAATAATATTCCATTGTATGGATTCACCACATTTTGTTTATCCACTCCTCAGATACAGGACATCTGGGTTGTTACTTTTTTTTGGCTATTATGAATAATGCTGCTATGAACATCTCATAAGAGGTTTGGTATGAACAAATGTTTTCAATTATTTTGGGTATACACCTAGGAGTGGAACTGCAGGGTCATATATGGTAATTCTATGTTTAATTTTTTGAAGAAATGCCAAATTATTTTCCACAGTGGCTACACCATTTTCATTCCTACTAGCAATGTATAAGGGTTCCAATTTCTCCACATCCTTGTCAACACTTGTTATTGTCTGTCTTTTTTATTTTAGCCATCCTAGTTGGTGTGAAATGGTATCTCACTGTGGTTTGGATTTGCATTTCCCTCATGGCTGATGATGTTGAACATCTTTTCATGGCTTTATTGGCCTTGTATATCTTTTCTGGAGAAACAACCTCATGTGCTTTCTCAGATGACAGACCATATCAACTTTTGATTGGCTAGTAGTAATAAACTCTGCTCACCTGTGAGTCTTTCCTCTCACCCACCCTCAAAAATGAGACTATTTGAAAATTTACTTCAATAAATGTTCACTTAAACACACAAACATCATAGGGACATAAAATAAAAAATTAAAATCTCTCATGATTCCACTCCATAGCACTGTTAAACATTCTTTATTCTTTAACCTTTTTTTTCTGACTAGAAAACTAACACATGCTTATTATAGAAAATACTGGAAAATACATCCATAAAAGCACTATGTGTATAAATATCTATTCAGCACTTACAATATGCCAGGCATTATTCTAAACACTTCAAAATATCATTCAGTGCTAATAATATATATAAAATTATATTAGGCCCATCTCACATTTAGTTTTATATCCTTAACCTATAATGAACATTTTTCTTTAAATAATCTTCAAAAATACAATTTTTAGTAGCAACAAAATATTCCAATTAGTGACAGATTATAATGTAACTAATTCCTCATTATTAGAAGATTAGACTGTTTCTAGGTTTTCACTATTATAAACAATATCTTTATATATCAAACTTGCATATTTAATATAATAGCCAGTGTTTATTGAGCACTTAGTATGAGCACTTGTGATAGCCACTTTATGTGGATTCTCCCACTTAATTTTACACCACTCAGTGAGGTAGGAATTATCATCATCTCCATTTTACAGATGAGGAAACTGAAGGTAAGAGAGGCTAAGTAACTTCCACAAGGCCATACAACAAATTGGTGGTCGAGTCAATGAGGATTCAAATTAGGTCTGTATGACCACTGAGGGGAGCCTTTAATTACTACACCACATTCCATCTCCCACCATTTCTTTAGGATGAATTTGTAGAAGCAGAACTGCTAGACTGAAGATAATACACATTTTTTTGGTGAAGTCTGGTAAATGTTGCCGTGATGCCCTTCAGTAAGATTACCCCAATTTCTACAATGCTTGTTTTCATACCCTTACCAATGCTTGATACCAGCACTTTAAAAAATCATTTTCCATTTTCTACGTAAAAAAAATGCCAGCTCATTTTACATGTATTTTTAAGCTGCTCTAGACTTATTGGTACTTTCATGATTCCTTCCTCTAACAGACAAAGCATAGCAGGACATCATCTTCCAGCTGGGCCCCGTGGCTTATAAGAACAGAAAGGAGATTTTGCAAATTCAGCACTCTTCACTGAGAGTAAGAGACGCTGCAGTGGTGGTGGTGACAGGAAGAATGCCAATTCCCGCCCAAGGGCAGCACAGGGAAGGCTGACAACATGAGCCTAAGAATGGACCTAGGCAGCTAAGCCAACACCACTAATGAGTTGTCACCTTTAACATCAGATGGTCTCAAGTAACCAAAAATTTCACCTTGATCCGTTGTTCCTGATTTACAGGAATGCCACTTTAAAAGGTCCACATGGAGGCAGGAGAGTTTCCAACGACCTCTCAGCTGACCTAGACTCTGCCTTCCTCTTTACCCTCAACCCTCCTCATGCCCCCCCCAACTCCCACACACTACCAAGTTGTGGAGCTGAGGTGACCGGCTCTAGATCACTCCATACCCCCAACAACCCACCAGACAACGTGTACTCATTCCTCCAGATTCCCAACAATGCAGCATCCCTCCCTCTGGCAGCTGTTTCCAGTGAGCCTAGCCTGGATGAGGAGCCACTTCTCTGTGCTCCCACTATACCCTGAGCAGCCCCTGGTTCCTGCAAGTGTCACACTGCTTTGTAACTGTTGGTATCTGTTTCCTCAACTAGATTTTCAATTTGTTGAGAGCAAGCTCTGTCTTCACGCCACACCCAGTGTATACGACAGTGTCTGGGAATGATAGGGTTTCAGTACTTTTTCATGAATAAATTGCACTGAGTTGACCAAGCAAACTGGTAGCCAGTTTCACCTCAACTTTCTATCTATGGGGAGCAGAGAGAGGAACTAAAATGTAGTGAGCCTCTATTAGGTGCAGTACTTTACACACATTAACTCAAGTAATTCTCACAATAACATACTGAGGCAGGTAGTAGAGCCCCTATTTTATAGATGAAAACATTATGCTCCACACACAGCCAACAGGGCCGGAATCCGAACCCAGGTCAATGTGATTCTGTCTTTGCTCTTTCCACTCCATTAGGTGGCTTCCCCTCCTGAAACGCAAAGCAATATAAACAGGAGGGGAAGAGCTACTCTTCCAGAACTGTTGGCTTAAAATCCCCTAGAAGTGAAAACTCTCCTATTTATCCTGAAAGAATCTCTGGCTAGGAAACAGAGAGGGGAGAAGGAACCTGGGAAGGGAGATGTAGGAAGAAGGAGGTGATGAGCAAAGATCAGAGAATGTTTCTCATTAATCTGAAAGCACCACTTGAGGTTCTCACCCTTTAAATTGTCTCAAGCCTGGGAAGCTTTTTAAAAGAACACCATAGACTCTTATGGCATTGCGATACCAAGAAGTGAAGAAAAAACTAGGGAAGCTGTGGTATGTACGAAGGAGCACAGGGATACCTGAGGTTCTCATTCTGATGAATAATAAGTGGTGCAACTGTGGCTAAGTCTAAGCCATTGAAATGCTCTGGAAACTCCATCTCCTCATTTCTAAATTGAAAGGATTAGGCTGTGACAGTTTCCAACCTGGCTCTGCATCCAAATAACCCCCTGAGCCTGTGAAACATACTGATCTCTAAATCCTACCCTCCTTCTGATTCAGTAGGCCTGGGGTGGGACGTAGGAGTCCTTAGGTAATTTACAGACTCAGCTAAGTTTGGGAACACCTGGGTGAGATCTTCTGCTCTCTCCCCAGGAGAGGAGATTGTGAAAAGTTGGCCAACTGATTCAGCACATTAAGTCACATAAAGACTACCAAGAAAGAACTTTCAATTCTATAAGGTTTAATTATCCCTTCCTTTTTCAGGGCAAAATGAGTTACGCTCAGTCTTCCTCATTGCTTAAACCTGCCTTTGTTCTACCAGTGCACTAGCTGTAGGAGTGCCAAAAACTGTGCTGGTGAGGAATGCAGACTTTTTTTTAATTGCCAGGGTTTCCCTGGAGGTATCAGCTGTCACAATCCTCTCCGGGCTGCTGGGCCATTAGTTCCTCTACTTTCCTTCTTTAAAGCTCCTCTGAGGAGGAACTACTACCAGAAGATTTAAAGGGCAGACAGGGAGTCTGCTCAGGGAGACGGAATAACAGCCCTACCTTGACGTCTAGCTTGGCCAGGTGTTGTAAAACCCAGATGCGATGGGACCAGGCATTATAGTTGCTTGGGTATCTCCCTGCCGCTTCGCCACAGACCTCCATCTCTTCTCGTATTAGTCGCTGCGTCCCTTCTGCAGGAATTGTTCCCAAGTTTCCTTTGGTCACAAAGGAAGGCAAGGAGGTTTCCTGATTTAGCTGTTGTAGCACCCATCGCCTGTTAAGGTAGCATGTGGGAGAGAATGAAGAAAGAACATAAACCAGAGAGGAAAACAATCCGAGTTTTCTTTGTTCTTAATTTCCATTCACAGACAATGCAGAATAATACCTGTCTATAAGCTCAGGTTTGTTTTATCTTTGGGGGGGGGGGTTGTTGTTTTTGTTTTTAAAGACATAATTAACTTTAGCAGCATGGATGGGGGGTGGGGAGGAAAAAGAGAAAAGGAAAACCTTTCTAAAATGTTAAAAATTTGTCAGAAAGAGAATGCCATCACTTCCAAAATGACAACTCCAAAACTCCATTTGGCTAGGAAATATAAAGGCAACTGGGCTGTACATTTGTGTGGGTTGGTAGTGGTAGTAGTGGTGAGGGGATATTAATCAATGGCTGGTAAATACTAGAAGAGGAGTCCTGGTTCACATCTTCAATTACATGTGCATGCCTCACTCTGTGTGTATTTGGTTGCAAATGTGTATTTGGCTGCATTATTACAGTTTCCTTAACCAAAATTTCTATATTATAGCATAGAATCTAGAAGGAAACAAATATAATATAATTAGTTAAACCATCAAGGAGGTTTTAAAAAATGTCTTTATCCACAGATTTTCCCCTTGTCTATTGAAGATTTTCATTAGCATACATTTAAATGAAAAGCACTAAAAAAAGGTGTCTCTAACCACTTAATGTCTTAATTTTTATATATATTTTCTCATAAGAAAGCATTCCTTTAGACTAAAAATTTGCAACCCAAAGGTATAAGAAATTGAGTAAGAAAACTCATTTTGTCATTTTCAAACCATAGAAATGTTTTACTTAACAACAAAATCTTGCTTTATCAAATATTAGACAAACCCAATAAATTGATGGATGCAAATACAATAATTCCCTTCCCTTGTCACCACCCCTTTCCAAACCTCTATACACACTATTATATACCCGAAGTCTGCTATCCCAATTTCTACTAAGGAAGAAAATACAACTATGTGGTTTGGAAGTAGCTGATGTGCAATGCTAGCCAAAGGCAAGATTACAGCTAAGATACCTTGAACTGACGTTAAGATCCTAAAAATGCTCAGGATTTAAGAAAAGTTATAAGTTGCTTAATAAACCGAGAATAGACTTCTTCAGAGAATTTCCCCACTGACGCCAATCAGCAAGCTCATATCATCTCATTTTACTCAAAATAGTTACATGAGATCCAAAAGGAAGACGCTTCCAGATAGCCAGGATTTTGAAGGGTGCTCATGTCCATTTTTGCTATCTGCCTCAGGCCTTTAACCTAAAAATATTCTTTGCATCTATGGTCTTAGCAACTTTAGCTCAGCCTACACACCATTCACCTCAGCTACCGTTGTTTGATTAATTTTAATAACCACAACCATCACCGCCACCATGTTAACCAGGAACACAACTAAATGTATTTTAAAACCCAAGTTGCTCATTACAGTTGAATATCTAAATGCAATCTCCACGACTACTTCAGATAGTTAACAATAATGGTCAAAATTTATTGAGTATTTAATATGTGCCAGGTACTGTGATAATGTTTATATGCATTATCTCATGTAAACTCAACCATGAACTCTGATAGGCCTAATTATTATTCCCATTATACAAATGAAAAACTGAGGGTTGAAGAGTTTAAATAACTTCCGAGGATCACACAGGTTTCAAGTGATGGCATCTAGATTTAAACACATGTAACCTGACTTTAGAATTCCCACTCCGCTTCACACTGTGTTTTTTCCCTCCAGCCATTCTGAACCCTAAGTGAGAATCATATGGTGTAAATTAACCACACCTATGAATCCATGTTTCTGGACTCTTTGGAAACTTAGTTAAGGCCAGTTTTCCCAGATGTAAGTCCTTAATTGGATTTAAAGTGCCAGAGAGGATCAGCTCTTTTCTGTAAAAGAAAAATAAAAAGAACCATTACTTTATCTTTCTATCCAAACATAGTACATGGCTATTAATTTAATCTCATTGTGAAATGAATTTCCAGGAATTAAAAAAAAAAAAAAAAAAAGAAGGAAAACTCTCATAAATGTCACACACAGTAAGCAAGAATGTATTCTCATAATCTTGAAATAACAAATTAAAAAGCAGAAATAGAAGCACTTAAATCAACAGTGGAACTTTAGTTACCTGTTTAGGAGAGGGCCAAGGGATTTTCTGGCCTGTCTCATTTCCAAAACTTACAAGGCCTAACGTTAATATCTGTAGGGTAGACCCAATACCAGTGAAGAATTGCTCTAGCTTCCTAAGTAGGACTTGATATGGTCTAGTTCCTTACCAAAAATACACATACCACAACAAACATAGTATAATTGAGATGTAACGAAAAAATCATTCATTCAATCACTACCCTAACAAGAATTACTATTTTTTTTTTTAATTTTTTTTTGTGTGTGTGAGGGAGATCAGCCCTGAGCTAACATCCATGCTAATCCTCCTCTTTTTGCTGAGGAAGACCGGCTCTGAGCTAACATCTATTGCCAATCCTCCTCCTTTTTTTTTCTCTTCCCCAAAGCCCCAGTAGATAGTTGTATGTCATAGTTGCACGTCCTTCTAGTTGCTGTATGTGGGACGCAGCCTCAGCATGGCCGGAGAAGCGGTGCATCGGTGCGCGCCCGGGATCCGAACCCTGGCCGCCAGTAGTGTAGCGCGCGCACTTAACCACTAAGCCACCGGGCCGGCCCAAGAATTACTATTTTTATTTTTGAATTTTCCCTTCTACTTTTCCTCATATGCATATATATTTTAACATATAATTTCATATCTGCTCTTATTTTAAGAATTTCCCCATGGTTCTATATAATCTTTATAATCAACATTTTAAATGGCTGAATAGTTTTTATTCAGTGGCTATGCTGTAATTTAATGACCCTTTCCCCTATTGTTAGACATTTAGGTTGCTTCCAAGTTTTTGCTATTCTAAAAGAATTCTGAAAGAGCTTTGTGCTTATGACTTCTTTCACCTGTACTATTACTTAGGATAAGTTTCCAAAAGATGTATTACCAGGTGAAATACCTTCACGGTCCTTTGATACACTAGGTCATTTCTTTTTGAAATATAAACAGAATAGCAATGTGAGGTTTTTATTGTTTTAAAACTGTTCAAAGCTTCAATGCAATTACAGTCCTGCATCATTTAACTACGGGGACACGTTCTGAGAAATGTGTTGTTAGGCAATTTCATCATTATGCGATCATAGAGTGTACTTACACCAACCTAGATGGTATAGCCTACTACACACCAAGGCTATATGTTACTAATGTTATGGGACTGCTGTCATATATGTGATCCGTTGTTAACTGAAGTATGGTTATGTCACAGTGCATGACTGTATAAAGAATGTCATGTAAGAGCTCTCCACCTATTTCTCAGGTAAATATAATTTAGGTTTAGGTTTAATGTCTCAGATAAGTTTTTGATAATAAGCTCTGATATTACTGATTACATTCTCAATTAATTTTCAATGTATCTATTATTTTATAACAAAATTATATTTATATATTTATATATATTTATATTTTATAATAAAATATATTAAATTATAATAAAAAACTAGTATTTTTATTTTTTTTTAAAGATTTTATTTATTTATTTTTTTCCCCCAAAGCCCCAGTAGATAGTTGTATGTCATAGTTGCACATCCTTCTAGTTGCTGTATGTGGGACGTGGCCTCAGCATGGCCGGAGAAGCAGTGCATTGGTGCGTGCCCGGGATCCGAACCCGGGCCACCAGCAGCAGAGCGTGCACACTTAACCACTAATCCATGGGGCCGGCCCATTTGCTAGTATTTTTTAATCTTAAAATGTCCTTCCTGTGGTGGGGCTGATTATTCATTTATTTATTTTTTTTTTTTGTGAGGAGGACTAGCCCTGAGCTAACATCTGATGCCAATCCTCCCCTTTGTTCTTGAGGAAGAGTGGCCCTGGGCTAACATCTGTGCCCATCTTCCTCTACTTTATATGGGATGCTGCCACAGCATGGCTTACCAAGCAGCGTGTCGGTGCGCACCCGGGATCTGAACCTGCGAACCCCAGGCCGCCAAAGCGGAGCGTGCGCACTTAACTGCTTGTGCCACCGGGCCGGCCCCATTCATTTCTTTTAGAGAAGTTTAACTGCAGCAAAACCAGAGCTCAGTTCTTATACTTCACCTATTTAGATGGATTTAGTTCCTAAATAACACATTTTCTTTCCAACAGCAAGGTACTATTTCTAAATTTTTATTTGATAAGGAAAATAACTTGTTTTTAAATAGTGATAATAAATACTTGCATTTTACAATCATTTTTTAGGTCAGTAACTTCACTCTATAAAATAATTTGAAGTGATCCCAAGAAGGTTATAGCTGCTTTAACAAATGGATTTATTGACCATTTTCCTTTCAATATACAGAAAATCTATGCATCATTAAAAGAAGATTACTGCAACAGTCAATTGCTTTTGCAGTCTCAGATCCTTTTTCTTCTGAAATCAGTAACATTTTGTTCATACAATAAGTCAGGACACATATGAAGTAAAAGGAAGCAAAACATTACTCTATGTAATTTTAACTACTTTGTAGAGCAGTGTTTCTCAAATTAGGGTTCTTAACTGCAGCATCAGCATCATCTGGAACTTGTGACAAATGTAGATTCTTAGGCCTCATCCCAGATCCACTGAAGCAACAACTCCAGTGGGACAAAGCAATGTGTTTTACCAAGCCCTCTGGGGAAGCACACTCAAGTTTAAAAACCACTACTGTAGAGAATTTATTGGATTAAGCCTAATTTCCATTTACTAAATTTAAAACCTTTCCTTCTTTATAACTGTCTACCTATATTCCCATATATGTCTCTATATAAACGGAAATAATCGAAATTTTCTTCAGAAAAGAGAAGTCACCTTATAACTGAATCTTTACAAAGTTTCCTAAATTAGGGGTGCTCTCTTAGTTTCTTCATTTTGAACAACAAAGAAGTATTTGGGATGACATCTTAGCCTGAAAAAGCCTCAAATCAACAGTATATACGGACACTTAGAAAAGATCACCTGACAGAATCATAAAAAAGGGAAGCAAAATTTTAATATCAATTTAATGAACACTCCTAGGGGCAGGACTGAACACTGTAGGTGTTAGCTATTGACATGAACAAGTTTTTTAAAGATCTCTTGAAAAAGAAATATGTTAAGTGGTTAAGTTATGGCTATCATATAACCTAGAGATACAGTAAAAAATCAACTGCTCTAATGTATTCAAGTAGGAATCTGGCTTGAGAGAAAATTTCCAGTCACACAGGGATTCAAAAAGTGCTGTACCTCAAACAACTCAGATATAAGTAAACATGATGTGCACTGGAAAACTATGCTAAATAACTCAAAAAAACAGCTCTTGTGATGACAAAGTCACTGATGTCAATAAGCCATGTGAGGAATTTGAATTAAACTGGTTAATGAAATGTGAGTAGGAAAATGAAGAATTTATAAATTTAAATATTTCACATAACATGTTATTTTAAAGGCGTGTAACTAAACTGAAAAACTAAATATCATAAGAAGACATTTACTTATTTCCTGTACATACCTTAAAGTTTACATACTGATAACAGCCTAAAAACATTTTTTTGGACTTTTCTTATTGAGGAAATGGAATACTGCCTTAAATTTGAGGTGGCTTTATTTTCAGGCATGTTGAACAAGCAGGGCATCGATATTCATCCTAAAAGCCTTATGTGGTACACTGCTAACAGAGGAAGAAGGAATGAAGTGAGGGTCATCAAACAGGTATGGGGCAAACTACCCAGGAAAGGAAAAGGCACCCTTGTTGTTTGGGAAATAGAGAGCAGGGGTGGTAAGGAACAGTGCCACGTGGCATGTGCAACCTTGTTTGGGATGAAATTATGTGAGTGCTGACTTTGTTTAAAGGTGGAAGAAGGGAGCAGACTAACGAAGTTTTAAGAAACAATAAAAAGCAGAATTATAAAAGGAATGAGGTTTTCCATATTAGCAGATTGTTCAAGCAATAAAAGTTACTCTTAAAATTTTTACTACATATTTCACTTACCAATTAAACAGTACATGAAAAATCTCATCACTTTCCCTTGAAGACTCCAGTTCATTGTTATGAAAACCTGCTTGTGCTGGAGCTAAAATATACCCACAGGAGCCTCCAGAGGTTACTAAGGTGAGTAGCATGTTTTATTTCTCTATATGAGGTACTGTGCTTTTGTTTTTGCAAAGTTTATTTTAATAAGTTTTTCTCTCTTCTCTCCATCTCAAACTATTGGTTATAGCTTCTCTCTGTTGTCACTCTATCCAAGATCTGTAGGAGACCAGGGGCCATGTTGTCCATGGCTAAATCTCCACAGGTTAGCTCAGTACTTGGCACATTGTAAATATTGAATAAACAAAATGCCACCTCTTTTTTTTTCCTCAACCTCCAGTTATTGTGTCTGAAATAACAATAACGATAATAATAAAAGTCATCCTCATAAAAACTACCATTTATTGAACACTTCTCCTGAGTCAGGCACTGTGTTAACTGATTTACATATACTATCTAATTTAATTCTCACAACAATCCTGTAAGTATTATATTGAACCATATGAAATTGCCAATATTCACTTGTTAATTGTTTTTTTAAATAAACTTTATTTTAGAATTGTTGTAAATTTATAGAAAAGTTGTAAGGATAGTAGAGAGAATTCCTGGATGTCCTGTACCCAGTTTCCTTTATCAGTAACATCTTATGGTATTACGGCACATTTGTCACAACTGATGAACCAATATTGACAGATTACTATTGGAACTCATATTTTATTCAGAATTCCTTAGTTTTTAACAAATGTCCTTTTACAATTCCAGGATCTTGTCCAGCATAGCATATTACATTTGGCTGTTATGTCTCCTTAGGCTCCTCTTGGTCCCTCAGATATACCTTGTTTTTGATGGCCTTGACAGTTTTGAGGAGTACTGATCAGGTATTTTGTATGATGTTTTCCTCACGGTTAGACAAAGGTTATGGGTTTTCAGGAGGAAGAGACCACAGAGGTAAAGTGCCATTTTCAACACATCATATCAGGAACACATAATATCAGCATGACTTGTCACTGTTGATGATGACCTTGATTACCCGGCTGAGGTAGTGTGTCAGGTTTTCCACCGTACTTTTTACAAGGAAGTCACACTTAAGGAGCAGGGAGTTAAGCTCCATCTCCTTGAGGGAGGTTATCTAGATAAATTATTTGGAATTCTTCTATATGGGAGATTTATCTATTGTCTCCTAGCGTTTACTTATTCAGTCATTTATTTATGTCAGTATGGACTTATGGATACTCATTTTATACTCTGGGGTATAATCCAGTACTATGTTAATTTATTGCTCAAATTGTTCCAGCTTTGGCCACTAGAAGCCTTTGACATACCCCCATCATATTGTTTTTTGAGCATTTCCTTACTTTTTGGCTCTATAAGATGTTCTGGGTTCATCTTGTATATTTCCTGCCCTGGTCCTACAATCAGCCATTTCTCCAAGAAGTTCAGTCCTTTTATTACAGAACGGTGATATAAACTAGGATCTGGATGCTAGGATTTAATTATTTTTGATCTACAAAAATGATAATTTCATATGGTGCGACCTAATACTATTTCAATTTTACAGATGAGGAAAGTGAAGCTGGGAGAGATTCAGTAACCTGCTAAAGGTCTCCGAGCTCAAAGTTTCAGAACCAAACATCAAATCTGCGTAAAATAAGGCTACCAATTTAAATCAATAGCCTATGAGTAAAGGACATGAATCATTGGAGCTTGGTGTCAGCTATTCAAGTTGCTCAAAGATGTTTTGCTTAGAATAGGACATTATTATGAAGTCAATTTCTTTCATCAAGTAATTCACCAATTTTCAAAGCAAAAAAAGAAGTACCAGTCATTTTTTCTATAATCAGCTGGATTTTAAAACTATATGCATCACTCACTGTAATCACAGGAGATCAGCTCAAAAACTTATTCTTGCCCCTATTTTTTTCCTACACCTGCAACACCTATAAATTGAACTACCAATGCATTATACCATCTTTTAGCAGTTTATAAAATACAGTCAAAACCACTCAATGCTTCTCAGAATTACTGCAGAAGAAACACACCAATTAAACATAAAGTGTTGAGTATTTACAAGAGCCCTTACAGGGTTACTTCCAAAGCTGCTTGTTTTTTGCTCAAAATGTATTCATGATTCTATGTCTTCAAAAGTCAATCAATCTTACTAATACAAATTAAAATTTACTACAATGCATATCCACAACGGATTTTTTAAAAATCCAGATTTCCTTTCTACTCATCTAACACAAAACTTTACCAATCACCTTACTAGAACAATTTTCAAGATTAACTGCTATTAACATCATTGAAGTTAGATTTATGGAGCAATTTCCCTTCATAAGACCAAACCACACATAATCAAAAAACATTTTCAAAAGAATTATAAAAAAATCACCTAATTCAAATCTTTTATTTCACAGATATGGAAACTAAAACTTTTGAGAAGTCAAAGGTGTTGCCCAAAGTCAACTGCTAATTAACTGATGATAACAGGACTAAGATCCATATATCTTAAGACTAGGTTCTCTCTCCTACACTGAACTGCCTTATAGAGTATACAATGAATAATATATATATGTATGTATATACATTATGCTAGTAAGAATCTATTTTTGTTGAAGGATTTTCAATTATTCTCTAATGATGAGGAATATGAGAACATGAATAAAAATGGTCCTCCCACTTCTCTATTATTACCCTCATTTCTTTTTCACTGAATTTTTCAGTGCCCAGTCTATAAACTGAATGTCTATTATGTACCGGGCACTAGGGTGTTAGATGCTAGCGGGGGAAAGAAAAAAACAAAGAAAAAAAAAAACAAACACGGTCCCTACCCTTAAGAAAGCTCTCAGTTGTAAGTTTATGGTACCTTCCTAAAAGTCTCCTTTGCTGATTCTTCCTCATCTCGCAAACTCTAGAACAGCGCTGTCCAACAGAAATACAATGTGAGTCACAAACGTGAGCCATATATATAATTTAAAGTTTTCTAACAGCTACATTAAAAACAAGTATAAAGTAATATATTTTATTTAACTCAATATATCTGAAATATTATAATTTCAACATGTAATCAATATAAAAATTATTAATAAGATATTTTATTTTTTGAGTAGTCTTCAATATCTGATGTCTAGTTTACATTTACAGCACATCTCAATTGAGAATAGTCACATTTCAAGGGCTCAACAGCCACATGTTGCAAGTGGCTACTATACTGGACTGTGCAACTCTAGAAACCTGTAGTGTCCCAGTGCTTAGTCTTTGGACTGGTTCTCCTCTCTATTTATACCCACTCCTTTGGGTATCTCAAACAATCTCATGGCTTTAAATACCATCCATTTTCTAGTGATTCCCAAATCTCTACCTGGCCCAGAACTCTCACCTGAACTTTAGATTCACATACAAGTACCTGGACACAAACCCAACATGTCCCAAACTGAACTCTTGACTTCCAACCAGCACCACCCCTACCCCGCAAACTGCTCCTCTTCCAGACATCTCCAATTCAGTTAACGGTAACTCCATCCTTTCAGATGCTCAGGCCAAAAGCCAGAGTCAAGCTTGACCCTCTTTGTTCTCTCACATCCAATTCATCCTGTGTCTTTAAAATTAGTTTATTAAATACAGTCAAAGCTTATATAGTTTATAAAACACAGTGAGAATCTTACTACTTCTCACCACTTCTGCTGAGCTCTCCGTCAAGTCACCGGCATCTCTCACCTACATTACTTCCTAACTTCCTAACCACTCCCTGCACTCCTACAGCCTACTTTCCACACAGGAGCCAGAGTTTTAAAAGCTAAGTAAGATACTGTCCCTCCACAGCTTGAAAACCTCAATGACTTTCTGTCTCACCCAGAATAAAAGTCAAAGTTCCTACAGCAGCTTACAAAGATCTACAAAGTCCTGTGAGATCTGGCTCGTTACTCTCTGGCCTCTTCTGTTACTCTCTCCCTCGTTCATGCTGCTCCAGCTACACTGGCTTCCTGGCTGTCCTAGAACACCTGGGAACATTTTAGGTATGACTGAGGGCTTTTCCACTTGCTATTCCCTCTACTTGGAATGCTGATCTCACCCCCAGAATCCACAGAGATTGATTCCTCACTTCATGCCAGTCTTTGCTCAAATGTTCCCCTATTTAAAACTGAAATACCATTCTTCCCATCCTCCTTCTGGCCTTCTCCACCTTTCTTTCCCACTTTTTCTCCATAGGATTTACCAACACTTGATCTACTACATATTTCACTTACTAATGTCCTTATTGCTTTTCCTCCTCTACTAGAATAAAAACTCCATAAGGACAGGAATTTTTGCTTGTTCTGTTCATGGCTCTATTCCCAGTGCCTAGAACCTAGCACACAGTGGTTAATCAATAAACATGTGATGAGTGAATGAACAAATGTTGTCAAGTATTGTGTGGATTAAATGAGATAACGTATAAAGTTGTAGTATGGTCCCTGGGATATAGAAGCCACTCATAAACGTTAGTCTATTCCCTACCCACTGTGGTGCTTTCCATAAAAGAAAACTGAAATTCTAAAATTATGTAAATTTTTAAAGCCTCATATCTCATTCTATACTTTTCTTACTCTTTACTCTAAATATCTGATCATTAATTATTTAAAAGACAGTTTTAAAAAGACACAAAATATAAGTTACCTAAATTTCTAAAAATCAGTTACAAATAGAAAATTCAGTAGGTATTATAAAACACTAACTCAGAATGTAGCCTTGCTTCAAATACACAGAAAATTAAAGTACTGTTTGAGTCATCTTTAAAGGTAAAGAGCTATAATCTATGGCTCTTTCCCATAGGAAAACTTAAAATGTATATACAATGTTCAACAAGACTTCACTTTCATTTATCTATAATTTGTATCCTGCTTTCCCCTAAGAGAATTTGTGTTAATCTAAGGGACCACCAATTTTTTAAAACCAAACATATTGTTTAACTGAAAAAACTTTAATGAAAAAATAAACCTGGTCTGAATTTTAATATTTCTATAAAGTATTTTGTGTTTAAAGCTACAACATTCAGAATTAAAGAACTTAAGATATTAATAAGATATAATCTCTCACCAAAATACTGAATGCCAGAGACTTCAAGTAATAGGCCCATAGAGGTTGATTACAACGTTAGTGACCGAGACTAAAAGCCTGCCGCCTTGAATCCTCATCCTACACGCTTTCCACTGTGCTACAGTGCTTCTCAAATACACTAACATCTCACAATCCAACCAATTATGCTGATTGCCCCATCCCCCTAAAAAGGAAGGAAAATAAAAGCATGTCTCAAATGGTATACTGTAATTCAACTTGACAGTTGACATTTCAGGCCAGAAGTTTACAGAGAATAGACATAAACATGCAAAAAGCTGCGAAGTGTCTGTCAGACCTGTCATGGAGATATTATAAAGAATCAGTAGAAGAAATAAGTGTAAGATGCCATGGATATATGGTTTATATTTCATTTTTCAAAAAGCTAACAACTCATGGGGCTTATATGTCTTCAGAAGTTTGAACAATTTCATTTTATCACTGATGACAACGACGTACCTCACGTTCCATGCAGTGGTAAAGTCTGGGTTTAGAAGCAGCAGGGTGCATGTGACATCTATCAATTCTAAAATAAAGAGAAGTCATATTAAAAACAAATAGTCCTACCCTTTAAAGTTGGGCTTCTCTTTCTTTTACAGTCCTTTTATTTTATATATTTATACAGACACACACACACACACACACACACACGTATGTCTCACATTATACTAATATATATTTCATGTGATGATAATTTTAATGATAGATACTTTGTTCTACACTTTCGGGGATATGAAAATTATCCTCAAGATTTTCTTCTACTTATAAGTGTAACTCTTTTAAAAAAAAGTTGACATAGAAACAATTTTATAATAGAATATGCCTAGAAGAATAACCAAATTAACCTCTTCACTCTTTTAGTAGTTTTTGGTATTAATCAAATATTTAACAAGGAAAAACACATGCAGTTTCTAATACCACTATTCAGTTAATTTCACAAATATTTCAAGAATTGGCTATGTGCAAATTTTCAAAAGGAAAAAAAATCACTCATAATCCAACTTACTTAACACAATTCCTTTACATTCCCCTGCAAAGATTATCCTTTCTTACATACATTTTTGTATAGATAAAGCAATGATAAACGTACAATTTTGTTCTTTTTCATTCAATATTATTTTATATGCATTCTCCTATATTGCTACAGTATGCATTTTTAACAGCTGTAACAATCACTTAGTTTAATATACTATCATTTACCTTATTCTTTAGGCTGCTTTCTGTTTGTTTTTCACTTTTATAGGTAATACGGCTACAAACATTTTTAAACACACTTTTTGTCTCACAGATTATTTTCTTAGGATATACTTCCAGGCGCAGAACTATGTCAAACAATATAAATATCAGTATGGCTCCTATTAAGCATATTCAAATTGTCCTCCAAATAGAGTGTATCTATTTATATTGCCAAGAGTAATACGCGTATACTTACGTCCTGTAACTCTGACCTATATAATTATATGGTCACGCATTACTTAACAACGGGGATATGTTCTGATAAATGCATCGTTAGGTAATTTCACCACTGTGCAAACATCATCGAGTATATTTACACAAACCTAGATGATATGTAGCCTACTACACACCTAGGCTATATGGCACTAATCTTATGGAACCGTCGTTGTGTACGTGGTCTGTCATCGGCAAAAACGTCATTATATGGCGCATGACTGTATTTAAAAAAATGAATGCAGCAGATAAAAAATTGTATTTTGTTTCCTTTTTTCTTTTTTGGTGAGGAAGATTGGCCCTGAGTTAACATCTGTGCCCATCCTGCCCTATTTTGTATATGGGACGCCGCCACAGCATGGCTTGATCAGTGGTGTATAGGTCGACGCACAGGATCCAAACCCGTGAACACCAGCCCGCCCAAGTGGAGCGTGTGAACTTAACCACTACGCCACTGGGCCGGTCCCTATTTTGTTTCTGCTTTAATTTACATCTTTAATTTATAATTATTAATATAAACATTTTTTCATTTTTGTTTACTATTTTCTACTTTCATTTTACGAGCAGCCTATTCATATTCATTAGCTATTTATCTATTATGGTCTTGAAAGAATTCTTATATATTCAAGTAAGTTCCATAAGCCTATATTTAATAGAACAAAATCAGTAATACTTAGACATATTGTCTTCATTTTACTAAAACTGAAAAGAGAATTCCAGGAATAAGATGATCAATCTAGGGCATAATACTAAATTAAGGTAATCTCTAAGCTCATATTAAACGATAAGCAAATAAAATAATAAAAATAACTGTTATAATTATTTAGCATTCTTGTGTACCAGGTACAGTAGTAAGTACTTTATTTATATTATTTTGTTGAATTCTCACAATCATGGTCCAAGATATTCTTATTTCACTTTACAGATAGGGAAACTGACATTTAGAGAGTTTAAGCAATTTGCCTCTAGTCATCCGATTAGTGTGGCAAGGTCAGCATCTGAATTCTTTTTTTTTTTTTTGTGAAGAAGATCAGCCCTGAGCTAACATCTGATGCCAACCCTCCTTTTTTTTTTTTTTTTGCTGAGGAAGCTTGGCCCTGAGCTAACATCCGTGCCCATCTTCCTCTAATTTATATGGGACACCGGCACAGCATGGCCCTATAAGCACTGAGTTCTTGCATACCAGGGATCCGAACCTGCGAACTCTAGGCCGTTGCAGCAGAGCACGCGTACCCAACCACCTGCGCCACCAGGCCGGCCCCTGAATGCTTTTAATAACTCAATTATACTGCCATTGAAATGTCTATCTACAATAAATAATTTGGACATTCTCAGTGTATAAGATAAACTTTTTAAAATCTAAGAACACACACACACAAATATATCCCTACACTCATTTAAAAATATTCTAGTGAAAAATAAAATCAATTATTCCATTCTCAACCATGAATTAACACTTATTGCGAGCCTATGATTTCATTACTACTGAGTAAAACATGCAATAAAATGAGCAACAAAAGGTAGGATTAGCACACATTTATTTTTGACCTCTATATTCCTCTTTATAATATGTCATTACATACATAAACAATGTATCTGTAAAGAACAGTCTAATTAACCTCTTTATTCTTTCACTTTTAGTAGTTTTTGGCACTAATTTAGTATTTACCAGGGAAAATAAATACAATTTTCTATACCATTATTCATTTAATTCCACAGATATTCCAAGTATTGACTACATGCAAAGATTAAACTGGGCCCTTAGAACTGAGAGAATACATATAACGATAAATAAGACCTGATCTTGCCCTCTAGAAGGTTGCCCTGTAGTTGGAGAGAACATATAAACTAGTAATTATAGAAGACAAAATGAAATAATTGTTAAGTAAAAACATACCACATTTTGGGGACCACCAAAGAAGCTGCAAATTAATTCTTACTGGAGTCCCAGGGAAGGCTATAAAAGAATAAGGCAGTAAAGCCCACTGCAGACTGTGGAAAAAAATATCAACAACGGTAAAGAGACATAGAAGCTCACACACAGCGTGCTCTCCAAGAGATCACTAGTACCAGAGTGTGACTAGAGCACAGGGTGCTGGAAAAATGGACCAGAAAACTAGAACCCAGCCCCAATCTCCTTCTCAGCTTGGCCTTCCACTGCTTTCCCTCACATGCTATACTCCACCTTTCTCTAAACACACCTTTTATCTGCCTACCTTCTCTTCTTCAGACATAACTCAGATTTACTTGCTCGTTATTCTCTCTGTCAGAAATGCAGAAATGTCCTCCTAACTCTAAATAGGAAAACAAAAACAAAAACATCTTTCTTCTTAAAGGCTTTCCTGACCTCCCTAGCTGGAGGCAATCTTTCATCTCTATGTTCTGTGTATATCTTACTTTGTTACCGATCTTGTATAAATATTATTCTCTTGATGAGACTATAATTTTTGGATGCAGGTCCTCTGTAATAATCAAAGATGAGAAAATATGGCCCCTGCCCAAAAGAAGTTCCACATCTAGACACAGCATAGAGGAGTGGTAAGGGCATAAGCTTTAAAGCCATACCACCTGGCTTTGAATCCCAGCTTCTCCACTTACTGCCTACATAACATACACGAACTTCAGTTTCCTTATCTGTGAAAGGGGGATGATAATATCAACCTCAGTGTTGTGAGCAACGAGATTCATTCCATTTCTCCATAGTTATTTGACACACAGTGAGTGTTCAACTAAACACCATTGCTACTTACCACCCAAGAAATTAATATTTTCAACATCAATTAATCAAAGAAGTCAGAAATGAGGCAGTTGTTCCTGTATTGAAACTGTCCAAATTTCTAAACTTGTAAAATAAGCAACAATAAAAAACAACTTGGTAGTTAAGTGGTTATATGGAAATGTTTGTGCATGATGGGAAGGTCTTTAGAACTTCTTTTGAAGTCTACAAGTTTTCAACATCCATTATACTACCTAGGTAAACTGGTAGTTAGTCTATTGGACTCTCCCCTTCTGCATTAAAAAAAAAATGTGTGACCAATAGTAGTTGCCATTCATTTGTACTTCTAAGCAACTCTCCTCCCCCACCCATAAATGAAGACAGGTTCATCCTCCACGAGAGGCATGCTGCTGTAGGAGCACAAGGCAAAAACTAACAAATAAACAGAGAAAATACCTAAGTCCCCACTTTTCATTTTGTGGCTGTGTGAAGAGAGAGGAAAGCTAATCAAAGTAACGCTTCCTTTACTGGAAGGTACCCCCCTCGCAGGGCAACAGCAGCTGCTGGGTTCAAAGCCCAGCTCTGCCACTTACTGGGAAGTCCCTGAGCTTGCCACTTAATCTCTCTGTGCCTTAGTGTCCTCTTCATATGTAAAATGGAGCTAATAATACTACTACCTCCTGGGGGGTATTAAATGATTCACACTCGTGAAGTGTCAGGACAGTACCTGACACACAGTAAGCACTCAATGATAATTCCTATTACAAAGCCTGTATCTCCTAGCCCAGTTCCATAAGTGATACTGGGATTGGATGCCACCAGAAGGAAGAAAAGAATCTCCTAAGGTGGCTGAGCAGTGACTGCTGAGCAGAGGGATACTACTCAACTTCTAAGAATTTCAGGATTTAAAACATATCAACAGCCTCAACCAAGCATCAGTGGTGCCTAGTAACACATATAAGCCACAGGGCCTTCTCCTCTACTCTTTGACACACTGCTACCTCCTCCTGAAGCAGGACTCAAGTTCAGATGAGACTTCCTTCAGGAAGCATTCCAGTCAGATCCAAGAACTGGGAGTGAGGTAGAATGTCAGAAATGGGAAAAGGCCAATGAAGGAGAAATAAGTAGGCTAGAAATACTCGACATAAAGAATCATTCCTGAATTATATGTATTTTTGTGTTCTTCTTCCCCACTGGTTCTGGCTAAATGGAAGGAAATTCGTGTTTCTTGAGAGCCTACCACATGCTAGGCACTGTGTTGTGCTTTATACACTAATTCATAGGATCCTCACAACAACCCTCTGAGACCTATTAGAATTCCCTTATTTTGGCGTGGAAATACAAAGAAGTTAAGTAATCTG